GTAAATATTTGTTGAACGAATGAGTGAATTCACATCATGCTCCCTTTTATGCTGCGAGGTTGCCTCCTCTGTCCTTTTGGGCGCTCCCACTTTTTCCTATTAGGTGCTTTTTCGAAACCAGTGAAATCCTTCTGAGCTGTGCTAACCGGAGGGCAAAGCCCAGCAGCACAGTGTGAATCAGGTGCCCAGGGTCCTTGCCGAGAGGATTTAAACAGAGGTTGAAAATTTGTAGCATTTTTCATGTGGGTAGTTGTATTTTTTTTTCATTTTACCTAAAATGTTTGAAAATTAAAGAGGTTTTTTGGGTTTTTTTGACTAGCAGAATACTTTTTAAAATGGGAAAACAAATGGCAGTGACAATTTTGTATTCAACAATAAAAAGAAAATGTTTTGTAGCTTCAGGAAAAAAGTCAAATTGAGCTAGAGGATTTCCCCACTTGGAAATCATTAATGCTGATCCATCATACATTTTTTTTTTCTGTTTTGTCACTAAGTTAAAAATAGGCTCCAGAATAAAAAAAAAAAAAAGTGATTGAATTCTGGAAAAATTTCCCTCCAAAATCACATTGTTCTTATTTTTATTACTATTCGTTTTACAATTTAAGCTTATACATTATTGATATATGTCTATAAGTAATAAGAAACATTTGCAAAATAAATGACTTATTTCCATTATGCAAATTATAGGAGGCAAAATTTGGATGTTACTTTCATAAATGTAGTATGTTGTCTGTGGTCAATTGTGCTGAAATCTTTATATTTTTCCCCCCAAGGTTTTATGGATAGCACAAATTCACCTGTTTAAACAGAATTGATGGTAACTAGAAACACTAATGTTAATTCTGTTACCGTTACCTGTTTATGGCTCCCCATAAAAGGCTACCTAAAATCTCTCTTATTGATTAAATCCATATGCAATTCATTTTTTCTGATATACAGAACACTGGAAATTTATCAACCTTTATTATTCCTCATAGAAATGAGCTCCTTTGGATTTCTAATTATATTGTCTAATAAAACTAAACAGTCAATGCTATTTGCATATTATATGAAGAAGTGTCATACAACAAACTCATAGCAGTCAATTAACATAAAAGCTAATTACCTATCTCATCAGCTTACAAGAGTTTCTGAATTCATACTTTCCCTATTGTAGCCTAGAGCAAAGGAGCTTTGAATTTTCACTTCTAAATATTGACTTTTAACTAATATCAGCGGTGATTTCAATGTTTATGGATGAAAAGTTAGCGATTAAACCAGATGCAATATTTGCTACAATGCAATTAAAATTTTACATTAACCAAACCTCTAGAAAGAAAATCTTTCCAATAATGTGAAATCAATGATCAGTCACTAAGCAAGTTAAGTACTGGTTTCCTGTCTGCAGGACACTCCAAACTAATGATAAAGACGAGCACAGTTTACTGGTGATCCTCAGACTGCAATGGTAGAGACAGACACACCACCGCGGGAGTTTTCACGTCCAATTGTGCGCTGTGACATAATTGTATTCCTGCCCGATTGCGATAGCTATCAGGCAAGAAATTTACTACCAGATTAACAGAGACGCAGTAATGAACAAGCATGGGCAACACCCTGTAATTGGCTGTTATTAAAGGGCTGTCATAGTGGTCTGTAATAAACTCCCTCGCCCCGGTCTTCTAGAGAAACCAAAGCCAGAACTTTCTCCACTATACTTTCTTCCATTTTAACGTTGGGTGTGGGTACGGCCAGCCCAGCCCACCTCTCATGTAACAACACACGGTCCGGAGCAAACCTAAAGGTGGAAGAACAGACACTACATATACTGAGTTTGCTTTGGAGTCATAGGTGGGTTTCAAAATTGGGGGGAAAGTTAGGGTTTTATTTTGATAGGGGTCCTCCAAGAGAGTAATGAAATTCTCAGGGATCATTTTTATATCTGTAACTCGTCCCAAACAAGTCCGTGTGCAAAAGCAATGGCAGATAAGAAAACTGCGCGCCAGCGACTGGGGTTTTCTCCTGGCCCAAGGATGGCAGCCCTTCTCATTCATATTGTAATGAGGTTAGTATCTCTGAGACCGTCCTTGGAGGCGGAAGAGGCAGTGCCCCTGTAAGATTACAATAGGAGATGCTTCACTGACAAGTACTATTCAAAGTCTTCACAGTACAGAAAGAAAGACTTAGTTTTATTCCACTTGTCCCAATACCTATTGCACTCTTATAACCCAAAGACTTTAAGGGGGGGAATTATTATTTCAATTATTCTATGAACAATCTTTACATTTACTGAAGGTAGTTAGCTGAGTAGTATCATTTTAAACTCTAATCGTATACATTTTAATGTCTAAATACCTGCAATGGATAAGCATCTTTTTCCTAAATATTTTTCTCAAAAAATCTGATGCTTTGGGATGTTAAGATCAAACTTTTTTTTTTTTTTTTTAAATCTTCTGTAAAATGAACTCTACCAGTCTCATATTGGCTGTTTTCCCCATCCTGTGTCTAGTGAACGTTGCCATGTGGGGTTCTTCTGAGCTATCCGCCAACAAACATTTTCTACTTTTGAAGAATGTTTACTCCACGGGCTAGCTACTTACAGCAGAAAGCCGGCCAGCCTCCATAGACTCACAAAATTATAGAAACTCCACATGTCGATCCCTTGAAATAACATGATTGTGTTAAAAAATAGGCACAATAGTACTCTGGTCAAACATGTAAAACTATACTTTCGAAATAAGAAAAAACAACCCGCCGTTGTGGTGGAAAGTTCTAACGTGGGGGGCTGTTTTCGAGACGCCAGGGAGCAGGTTGCGAACGGCCCTCCACACATGAACATCATAATTTCACTCAAAACTTTTATGCTCAGCAGTTTTTGCAAACAGCTCATAATGTTTGGTCAACTTTTAAAAATAGTTTCTAGAGTGGTTCCTAGTCATCTGTGAACTCCGAGTTATATCAGGATGGAGTTTGGTGTCCCAGGATGGCTGGGTTTCTAGAAGCCTCTCCCTCGCCCAGCCATCAGAGGCTCACCCTCCTGGCACCTCCGTGTTCCCCTCCCCCAAGTCAAGTGTGTTTACTTCTCAGATGGGGGAAGGAGCAGGGGGGAGGGGAAGGAGGGAGGGGGAGAGATTATGAATTTCTTGATTATAGTTAGATTTTTTTTTTTTTTTAATGAAAGATTCTACTCTTCACTTTCAAGTAAAATGCTTCTTCTGTGGACACCCAGAAACTACTGTGAATATCTTTTGTTTGTATCAGACAAGGGTAGGATACTTAAAACACATGCATGGTGGTGGGGGGCACCCCCTAATCTTTCTTGTTAATGATCTGCGTGAATTAACTGTAATTTAAGAATTCACCTCTGCATTTAATGCTTTTTCCAGTGGCCAATACCTGTTTAATCCTTGGTTTCTGTAAATCAGTAACAGACACTCAGTGTTGTTTGTGGGTGTACACGAGTTGTGTGTTGCATGTGTTTAACAACCGGCCACACTGTTTGCAAAGCTCAGACAAGTGCAACTCGTGTTTGCAGTGTGCACTTCCAGCCACTTACGTTACAGCTTTCCACTGCAGGCATTTCTTAAAAATTAAAACGCGAATGCGCTTTAAAAACCTGATTATTTTGGCGAGCAAGCAAAGCGCGGTGTTATATAGTCTAGTTGCACAAAGTGTTTAACTGCACATTTGAATGCGTGGGCCTCGGAAGCAGTTTTTTTTTTTTTTTTTTTGGGGGGGGGGTGCCGAGGGCGAGATATCATTACCTGTGCACGTGGTGGGTGCAGCTGGTGGAAGCCGGTGGCTCTGTGCTCTCTTACGCTTTCCCTCTTCCCGAGCCTCTTTTCAAGTGTTTTTACAAAGTTGGCTCCTCTTTGCCACCGGGGGCCGGCAGGCAAGCGGCGATGCTGGGGTGGCTTATCCCGGGGGCCCCGGGCTCAAAGGACACCCCAGACGACACCCACCACCCGCTTTCAAGCCGACGCTGCGGCTCGGCGGCGGCTCCGCGGCCAGATGGCGGCGAGGCGCGGAGACCCTTTGTGCGCCCCGAGCGCCCGTGAATGGCGCGCGGCCGCCGGCACCGGAAGGGCTCACACTGCGCCCGAAAGGGGACAATGGGGGCTGGGCACATCACCGCCGCCGCAACCCAGTTCATTTGCGATTCAGCCCCTTTCTCCGCGGTTGTCATGCAAACTTCCTGCTTTGATCAGCGGAGGGTGGCGAGGGCCGCGGCCCGCAGAGGCCCCGGGGCGCGGCGCGGTCCGGGCGCCCTTGGCGGCTCCACGCCCCTTCCGGAAGGAGCCGCCGCGGGGACGCGGCATCCTGCACCTTGACCTGTCTAGACGGGCCCGCAGTTTTTGTCTCGGTTACCAAGGGCGAGGGTGCTCTCTGACCCGCGCCCGGGGCGGAGGTGGCGGCCGGCGCGCTCCGCGGGGAGAGGCGCGCGGGCCGTGCGTGCGCCCGCAGCCCCGGAGGGCCGCGCGGGGGAGGCCGGGGCGCGGGGCGCTGCAGCCCTGTCCCCCGGCCCCGCTCCTCCCCGCGGCTGCCGCTCCGAGGGCACCGCCGGGCCGACCGCAGCGACGGCGCAGAGCGAGACGTGGGGCGTCCCCAAGCTCCCCGCCGAGCGAGGGGGGCTCTCAGCCCAGACTGACAAGTAGAGGGATAAGAGCCATCTGCCCTGCTTCGCTCTTCCTCCTGCGAGTTCGATGACTTTTAAAAATGATTACATGTGTTTAGGTATAGTTGTAGAGTTTCTGGTCTGAAAAATGTAAGTTTTTATTTTCTGCCCACTTTCATATATATATATATATGCATATATATATGCACTTTTTAAAGCTAGGATTTCAGATAACCCCTTACATTATACGAGTAATATAATCGTATACATATTAGGAAAGCATAGCTATTGCATGGTAAGTGTCTGCATGCATGGGGGTGGTGTGTCTTTCTTGCGTGCCCGCTGCAAGTTCTCTGAAGTCATATGAGCGTTAAGCCCAGTCTCCTTGCCGGCTTTTTCTTCCTAGATCCCGCTGGCCCAGTCCGAGGCATTCCTAACAGACCTTTTGGATAAAGTCTGTGAGCGAATGAACGACTACAAGCTTGAAGAAGACCCTGTGACCAAGGAGAGAACTTTCAAGAGATTCGCTCCAAGGAAAGGAGACAAAATATACAAGGAATTTAAGAAATTCCATTTTTATTCTGATGCTTACAGACCTTTGAAATTTGCGGTAAGCTCTCTTCTTTCAAGATGAATCACATGACTGATGCACACATTTTTTCGGGTACTCTTTTTTTTGTTGTTGTTGATTGCTGCTCTTTTGTTGTTGAGTTTCAAGACACCAGAACATCAAAATGCACATCAAATGCACATCAAAATGCACCTGTTTACTTTTGTAGTCCTGTTGCTTTTTAACAGTGCATTTAGTAACTTTGCATTTTGAGACCCTTAAGAGGTGGTGCTATTTTGTAGTGATCAATGGAGACATTTAAGTTATATTTTACAGAAAGTGCTGTTCATGAACCCCAGCGACTCAAAGACACAGTTGCACCATGTTTTGTTCAAGCCATTTTGCTTGTGTGGGGGCTTGGGAGGGGTCTCTGTCCGTCCTGTTGCCAAGGAAGGTCTCTCACAGGTTTCCACGTAAGGAATCAGGGGCTGTGGTTTCTAGGTTAAATTACAAATTAAAACGAATATCATTTTCAAATATTTATAGCCAAATGACAGAGAGAGAGTGACGCAATCATCTCTTTTTTTTTCCAAAGGCTTCACAGAGGAGAGAAACTTTCCCCCCTGAGTTAATGCAAGTATTCCAGCACAAACTAAGTTAAACAAAGGCTTAGGTACCAGAGTTGGCTTGATGCCAAATTTCCTTCCAGGAGAATGTTTATTTTTCATGATTCTGGCCCCTGGCTTGCTAGAATGTGCCTGGCAAAATATATTGCAATATATTTCATTTTACTCAGTGCTGTTGAATCAAAGTGATGGGCAGGCCTGTTTTAGAAATGTATTAAGTTCACACATTGGCCAAAATGTCAGGCATGCTAAAACCTCGAAATAAAGGCTTTAGCTGACTTTTGAAGATTTCATTTTTAATTAAAAAGTAAGGGCAATAAAAATCGGGGTTAAAAGTACCCATGGAGTAGGAATGGCAATGAGTAGGTGTGTTTGTCTTTCGCAGGTTTTAAATAAACACATTAAAGTTGAATTTAAATATTTTTAAATGCCACTTAAAAATTTTAGAGCCTTGCTTAATGAACTCAGAAGATGATTGAGGAGCCTCCAGTGAATGCCTTTCAGTAAATTGACAGTTCCTAAAAGTGTGATCTGTAGTTCTTTAACAAAGAAACATACTCTAGTTAGAATTTAAGATTTTCAAACGCAGGAGCAGACGTGAGCTCCCTCGTCTCCGAAATGTCAGAGTGTTTTTGGAAAGTGAAGTGAAATTTCGGGTGGATCTCTAAACACTCTGAAAAGAAACTTCCACACGTAACCACTGTCAAGCGTGTTCTCCACAGTGAGATTGAAGATGCATTTGTTTTGATTGCTGAGGAGGCTTAATTGTTTTCACACTTGCAAGCCACAAAGTGGATTATTATGTTAAATCTGAAGGAAACTGGTTTAACCATTTCAGGGAGCTGTGTGCCTTAAATTTTTTTTTTTTTCCAATTAAGAAAACTAAGACTTTTCAGCTCCCTAAATAGGAGGCCCATTGCTTCCCAAGACTTGCCTTCCAGTCTAAGGAAGAGGGGCAAGTAGAAAAAGCCAGGTTTATTCCTGAGCGTCCTGTCTATTCAGCACGACTCATCAGTTACGTCCCAGGAAAAATGATGCAATTAACATTCTGGGAAGAGGGTTAATGCCACGAGCAACGGTGTATTAAACCAAAAAAAGGGCTAAGAAAAATGGGCCGCCTTGGCTACGTAACTTCCTATCTTTGGCTAATAAAATGTTGCTAAGTCCTTCCTAACAAGGTGCCCGTGAGTGTGCGTCTGTACACACGTGTTGTCATTGTGTTTCTGCAGTGTGAAGCCATAATAGAAGAGTATGAAGATGAAATATTCTCACTTATCGCCCAGGAGGCACACTATCTAACTGACAAGCTGTGCAGTGAGAAATCAGGTACTGTGTCTGATGTAACATGCTCTCCCTGCCTCCCTCTCCCTCTCTCTCCCCCTCCACCGCCGCTGGCAGCTCTCGTTTGCAGCCCCGGCCTCGCTGCCTGGCTGCCTCCCCACACCGGCGGCTCCACACAGGGCCCTGTGGCCTGGCAGAATCAGAAATGACACCGTGAGGTAGCAGATAAACAGGAACCACGGGGCTGTGTGGCTTCCCTCTTTCCGCTTTCTTTCCTCCGGCATTTTAAATGCATGCAGACATTCTTGATTTCCGATTGCTGGGGACCAAATTCTTCTTCAGAATTAAAAGGGTGCAAAGCCCCTTCTTTAAAAAAAAAAAAAAAAAAGTTTTAGGGATTGGCTTTTCAATTCTGGTCCAGGAAGGAAGAATCTCACTTTACGACATGAATATGCACCGCACCAGCAGAAGGTGGGATTTTAACTTTGTAAGAGATTTTTAAAGTTTTTTTTTTGTTGTTGTTTGGCTGGGGGAGGGGTGCTCGATATTATGTTTCAGGTTCCTTTCCCCGTATCTATTTAATTAATTTTCTTGTGGCTTAGAGGGTAGAAAGTAATACTTGACTCATGTTCTGAAACACATACACACACTCAGGAGCTAGAAAAAAATGAGCAGAACTTTATTTACTGTACACAAAGTTGAAAACGTTACCACTTGCTCTCCCATCTGGGGGACCGAACGTTGTGGGTCTTCAGTTACGTCATTTGAAAACTTGTTTAATACATTTATGAGAATGGAGTGCAAACTGCATTCTTTTAAAATATCTTTGGGGAAAAAAAATGAATGGACATATGTGAAGACAATGATTTAAAGCCAGTAGAACACTTTTAAGTGATGTGGAAGCTTGAGACATTTAGCATTTGGTAGTTGTTTACAATAAGGTATAATACACCTATATCATTGCATCAAATTTAATGCCAAAGCCCTCAAAATAATAGTGACTGCACATTTGTAGACAAATATTTGTATCATCAAAATTTACTAAACAAGGACATAAATCTCCTATGTAACAGAACAGGTAAATTTTTCTTACTCTGTGTATATATTTGGATTACTTTCTGTTCAAAATCCGGTTTTAACGGAGCTTGCGGGAGAGTGCAGTGAAACGATGTAGTCAGGATTGTTTGGGAGTTTGTGAATTTTTTTCTTTGATGTCAGGTATGTTAGCAGAAATTTGTGACATTCTAACCACAACTTCCCAATTGTTTTTGAAGTCTTTCAAGCCATCCAGAGATGTGCGTATGTGTTAAGATATAATCAAAAACGTGATGAGCAACATTTGAAACATTTGTTTTCCTGTTTTTTTCCTCATAAAGGATTTGGACATGTCATCATCGTCTGTGACAAAATGCAAATCACTTGCTACGACAACGTAAACTCTCACTCAAATGTTCCAAGAGAACTTGAGAGAGTTTCACCAACTGTCATGGCAGTAGTTGCCCCAAATAATAAGATTCTGGGGAACGACTCTGCTCCCAAGTTCAGCAGTTTCACTTAATTTCAATGATATTAACTACCTTCATTCCTTCTGTATAATTGGGATAAAATTAACCTTAACCTTGAGAAAGTACAAGCTTAACGAATGAACCTGAGATCCGTACAATCTTGCTGGTAGAAGATAAAGCATGATTAGATAATTCTTAATTGACACTTGATTTTTTAAAAAACGGATTAAGTAGTTACTGCTATAAACAGAACTGTTGAGAGTGAAAGTCACCGCTCGAAAGTGGGAACTGCCACATGGCTGCTACACAGCGAAGTGGGGTGAATTCCTGAGGTCATGTTCCTCATGAAGCATATTTATGGATGTTCTAAACCATTCAGAAGTTAAAAACTGAGAATAAATTAATCCTAAAAGAGAGACTAGACTCCCCCACCCTGCAAAAAAAACCACCAAAAATCCCCCACAAAACTTCCTATTAAAGTAAGGTAACAACACAGTAACAAGGAAGAGAGTTTTTCAAACTTAAAAAGTTTTGCAAGAAAAAGCTAAAGTGATACATTGGTGATAAAAATTCCAGTGCATAAAGCAGCAATAAGGAAGTACTGTGTTTTACTGTACTGGGGTGGTTCAGACAACTGTGTACAAGGTGACACTTTTGTATCATAGCAAAAACTCCAGATACACTCAAACATAATCTAAAATACAAATAGTACATTTCCTAATAGAGCATGACACACTCGGTTTTGCAAAGGCAATATTGCACCTTTGTCATATTATGCAACATGTACAACAACTTTGCTATCACATGATCTCCACAGTTTAAATGTTTTAAGGATGTGACCGCGTGCCTCTGTGTACGTGTGTGTGCATGCATTGGAAGTTATATAACTGTATGTTAAACAATATTTACTGAGTGTATACTAAGTGCAAGACAATATACTGAGCTGTTAGGATGTCCACGTATTGGCTTTAGGATTATAAATAATTATCTAGAAAATAGATATTTGTAGAACTGGAGATTTTATTGGAAGTTCAGTCCCTTCCTATACTTTATATATGAATTTTGCTTTTTTTCTACTTCATCTAGATCATTTCACTTACTTGTGACTTATTTATTATTATTACACATAAACAAGTGAGGACACATTTACGGAATCTTCAAAATATTAATGCTCTAACATTCACCCCCCCCACACACACACACACTAAAATAAATAGAGAGAAATGGAAAAAACACATGTCAAATTTCAGATAACTATGTTTGGATTAAAAAATAACACATCACTGAGATTTTCATAAACATTATGTGTCACATTTTTGATGAGTGAAAAAAAGATCTCAGTGAGTGGTTGTAGGATTGCAGATGAATCTCTGGGCGTGCTACAATTTTAGACCCTGGGTAGAATAAAAATTATTGAATACACTCTGTTCTTTGCGTGGGAGGCAGGATAATAGGAGGTTATTCTTCTCCTAATCTCTTCCTAGGCAGATCTCTAAGAGTAAGTTCATTAGATGGTTCTGCCAGAGCACCTAGTAGCACATAACCCAGGTTTCTCCAAATTGCGATTTTGGTATCTTGAAGACATCAAAATGGTTCGGATCTTAACATGATATAATAAGGTCATGATTAAAAGCACAGCTGTGTTCCACTCAAGGTACGGAACATAATGCTAGATGATAAATAAACGTCTGTGGAGGTATTTGGTAAATAGACTGTGTGAGGGTATACGTCTACATACAGAAATATTTTCTGTGCCCATGACTTCTGTCTTGATGTCACATCTTAACATTTAAAAACGTCATAACTGACGGACTTGCCGCATAACGTTTTGAATGCAATATATCAATATGACGTTAAGTGTCTAGAATGTTTAAGTTACATCTAAAAGTAAAAACATTTTTGACTTTTTGTACAGACTTCTCAACGCTTATGGGGGTGTTAAATTCTGACATATAAAATTGTCACTTTCCAAGGCTTGCGTATTTTTAAATACATTATTTAGCTGAAATCATCCATCGCCTTTTCCAGTGTAGCAGCTATAATAATTGTGGACATGTCACTGGCTTGTTTTTATACTCTCATTGTCAGGCAATGAGAGTAGGGTTGGCATTCATCGCTTCCAGTTGGAAAAGTGGTAGGTATCAAGGAATCTAGTGGCCTCCCTGGAGTGGCCTCTCTGGTCCTTGGATTAAATGCCGCGTGTACTGTGCCCCTTACGAGCTGTGAATTCTCTCTGAGCAGATATTCTTGAAATGCTCCCACAGCCATGAGTGAAATGACACAGTACCTTGGCTCTGCTTTGAAATATCCCAGCCAAAAAAGATTGAAAGATGAGATGAGAATGGCAGAGTGTTGATCATGGTTGGAGCTGGCTTTGGGGCACAGCTATACCTTTCTACGTTTGTCTACATTTGAAAATTCTCATAATGAAAGTTTAAAAGGCATGCTTCCACCAGAATGTACTTTCTGCATGATATAACTGACTTCCTGGGCTGGTATTTAATGCGATAGTGATGCTATTTAATTTTTTTTTTCCAGGTCTGTGTGAAACTTCTACTAATCATACTGACCTCTAGGAATGAATGACATGCTGCCAGTTACGGGAGAGGAGTAAAGTCACAGCCCAGAGGTCGATGTCTGCGTTTCATGTTTGTGTGTTGTCTTTCGTGATTAGAAATTTTGTCTTTTGTTTGTGCCATGCTCATCTCATGTATGGTATTTTTTTTTTTTTGAAAATCTGTTGTTTGGCATCATGACAAACTACGAGTCTTTCTATAGGTGAAGCCGAGGAGTACATAAAACTGAAATTACCTTTGCAGATTTCGATAAAAACAGGCTTGGCAGTAAAGCACTTAATTCAGCACTGGGGGAAAAAAGTGAAGCCATTTCATAAACAAAATACTGAATACTTTGTAGCAAATGTATATGCGCCTATGCAAGTGTAGTGTGCCATTTGATAAGAACTTGATTTCATTTCTCAAATACTTTATTGGCCACGAATTTAAGGAAATGTCTTGCAACAAATTCCAAATTTGGTCTTCTTCTGGGTTAGATATGGCTGTTGGTTAAAGAAACAAGCCTCCTTTTTATCAGAAATGAAATTTAAATTTCTAAAAAACCATAAGTTTAAAAACTTATTTATGTCTAAAATTTAGCGGAATGCATAAAAATAATGAATATTTTACAGTGAGCAATAATTATATTGGTCTCTCTTAAGCATGCATTCTGAGTTCAAATGATTTAGGAAGTTGATTTATTATTATATCATATATTAAAAGATGACGCCGCTAGTGACCACGCTTTGTTTTACTCCGAACTCTTTTTTTTTTTTTTTTTTTGTAAAGATTTTTGGCTAACATTTAATGTGTAGATTTTACTACTAAATAACCAATCATTCTTCTACAGGGATATTTTCTGGAGGTGTGGAGATGGAAGAGGGGGTGGGACTTAGGGGGAAATTACCTTTTGACCGCACGTAACATAATACGCAATGTAGTAACAGTCACTCTTGCACATTTTATTATCTCTGTTGAATTTCCCTTCAGTGGAATCCAACTTTAATTATTTAAAATGTCAAGGCATAGTCTACACCTGTTTTTTAAAAATCCTCCTTATTGTGCATGAGAATCGAGTGGGTCACATGATGCAAATTCGTCCTGTCTAGACTAAAACTGTTCTCCATGTTGTTACGTAATTGCCTAGAAAGCACACTGCGTATGGTTCAGCTGACTCCAGCAGGAAACAATTCGTAAATTTAGGAAAATTTACCAAAATTAAGGGGAAGAGATTTCCAACCCCCTCCCCCCACAACCTCACTTTTATTAAAATTCAGATTTTAAGTTAATGTCACTTAGTTATTTGGAAAACTGATAAAATGTGTGTTTTTTTTGGTATGTCTGCAACTGCTTAAGTATATATAGACCCTCCACAGCCCAATGAGCTTGCAAGCTAGCTGATAACAGTGGGCATAGCATTTAAGGATAATTAGCTCTGTTTTCCAGTAGGGTAGTAAAATTATTATTTAAAACATAGTCCAGATATCTTCATTTAATGTATCTATCTAAGATTAATTTGGCATGTGAAATAGTAAGTCATAAACCTTTTCCTAATGTGGCCTTTCTTGGTAAATGGCCTAACCGGGAACATTGTTTCTTAAAACATTGGTGACCTTCAGCAGAACATGTTGGAAACAGTGGCATTGAGTAAGCATCTGTGATAAATGTAGCAGCTATAATAATTGTGGACATGTCACTGGCTTGTTTTTATACTCTCGTTGTCAGGCATTAAAAATTCTCAAATACAGACTAATGCTAATGCTAATCATAGAGGTTAAGAAAATGTGGGCTCCTGTTTGTAACCTAAACAGACACGGAGAGGTGGGCCTTTCCACTGAGGCATGCTTTTCCTTAATGCTGATGTTTTGCTTTGAATGGAGAGAACCAAGCATCTTGACTTTTTTAGTGAATATCTAATGTCTTGCTAAATACCATTTTCTTTTTTTTTTTTTTATTTCCCAGGAAAAATGGTCTTGAGTCTTGTAAGATTTTTAATTTCTCATGACTCGGATATTTTTTTCTTTCCAGATCAAGCCTGCTAAACTAATATAAATATTTGCCATTTACTAAGTTACGGATTGGAATCCCATCTGAGTGATAACACACAAGCCACTGGATTTCTCGTGGCTGCGCTGATTCCTCAGTTTCCCTCCATATCATTGGTAGGTGGCCCTGCTCTGCCAATGAACAGGAATGAGGTAGAGTAGCTTCTCAATCTAACATCTTTCCTCACCTCATTCCTGCCTTTTAAGTGATATTCATTGACCCCAAAAAATAAAAACAAAAAGCCAGGAAAAAAAAAAAAAAGAAACTACGGAAACAAAATCCAAAGAAACAAAGAAACACTAGGGTGTGAGAGAAAACTCTCTCAGAGTTGATGGAAATCTACCCAAATCTAGGTCCAAGAAAAGTTCCTTAAGAAACATGGGGTGGAGATATAATAGGTATTAAAATAACAAGGAGAAAACACAGGTTTGAGGCTGGATGGTTTCGAACTGTACTTTTATGAGATGGTTTGTCTGGGTCTCCAGGAAGACTTGTGCACCTGCTCTCGTAAAGATAAGACCAGATTGGCTGAGATGCAGAGTTTATTTTTTTGTGATGTGGATTACTGTTTGCTACGAATAAGCCAAGACCAGTGAATCCATTTCACTGAGGATTGGAAAGTGGAATTGAGCCAAAGTCCCAAACGGGGAAGATCAATACTTTATTTAGGAAGACAAGCCCTGGTTCTATTTTTCATATCTATTTCTCAGTTTAGGTTGATATTTATTCATATATATGGTAACTTTATCTAAATAAAAATTTTGAACTATGCATCAGTCTAAAAATTCAGATTGTGATGGAATGTGAGAAAAAGCCATTCTCTGAGGTGATTTTGTGGTGTGTTTTAAAATTTGATACGAATGTGTGAGTTAACCTTCAATGTGTCGAATCCCGCTTGGTAGCATGTTGCATAGTTTGATGCCAATATATAAATAAACGATATTAAATCGTCACAATCGAAATATGCCTGTTAGATACAAGAGTGTTTTTTACGATTCTCTACCTCTAATTCAATTCCCCCTTTGTAAGTTTCCTAGATTCCTCAGATTATTTGCTTTTAGAGCAAGAAACTGAGCGGATAAAAAGACCAAACGCCATAAATGAAATTGAAATACGGAAGTGGTAAAAATTCTTCGCCCCGACGTGACTTAGAGGCAGCAAATGCTGCTGTTCTCTGTCGGAGTTTGGCTTTTCGCCGCTTTCGCTGGACGTGGAGGGAAAGGGTCCTCTTCACGACCTGCTCTGAGCAACAGGGACGTGGTGATGTCTGGCCTGGCGCTGGCTCAGTGGCCTGCGTGGGCGCCACCAGAGAGGTGAGGCTCTGCTCGGAAAGGGAGTCTCACAGCCAAGTGCAGCTCTCTGCCCTTCTGCATTCTCTGGGAAAATCCAAAAGATGGATGGATAGCTAGAGAGGAACACAGACATGTATATGCACACACACACACACACACACACACACACACACACACACACAGAGCTACTATAAGAGTCGTGCTCAGGGGACTTAGCCAGAGCTTGGAGTACTCCAAGGTGGGGGCCTCAAAGAAAAAGTATCTGGGAAAATGTTTAGCTCCTTAAAGAAAACAAATCATTCCTATGCTCCATATCTCGGAGAATTATCTCGAGATTTGCATGAAAGAAAAATAATGGGCTCTAAATCACAAGGAACGTTACAAAACACTCCACCTGCCACAGCAAGACATTTGCGAAACATAATCTACTGGTAAGTCGCCAGGAATAAACAAAAACACCGGGAACATATCAGAATCTCGTCCTAGGTGTCATTATTGTGGAACATGGATTGCAAGAAACCAGGGGTCAAACTGTATCCCCCCCCAAAAAAAAAAAAAAAAAAAAAAACCATAACAGTGCTAAGTAAAGCCCAATGCAGTAAGGTAAGCCCTTAAATAGGTGGGACTAGTCCCTCTAAGCCACAGGGCGGGGTAACTTTTTAGAGTCACAGTGCTTCGGTCCACGAAGCACTGAAGCACTCGGAGGCGCCTAACCTTCACCGAGGGCTGAGGAGGGTTCTGGCAACTCCTGTCTCCTCGAGGGAGCCTTAACACACTGCTATCCAAGGAAGGCAGGTGACAGAGGGGAGCGTGGACGCCTAATGTCAGTTACCGGCGCGGCCGGGACTCAGGCAGATCCTATAAGCGACGCGTTAAAATATTCATACCAAGTTCAAACTTCGCGACTAGCGCGGTTGGCACCCGAGCAGTGAGGACGCGCTGCTGACATTCCATGTTAAGGGCTTGCCTCCCAGCAGCCTCCCGAGCAAGCGGGGGCTCCTCCGCAGCCTGGGCTCTGATACCGGCCGATGAAGGGTGACTGTAACCCTCGAGGTGGCACGGTGTCAGCAGAGGGAGGAGATTTCAATCAGGCCATTCTCATCGTCTGGTAGAAAGGATCTTTATGGCTCTGTCGTTCTTCCTCAAAGGGCCCCGGTGAAGCACCTCCTGCCGGATGGTTCGCAGGAGAAAGTGGAGAACAAAAAAAAAACAGGCTCTTCCGTCCCTGTGAAAAATGGACCCTCTTTAAAGCAACGTGGCTTTAAAACAGATCTAACACAAATGCGGGTTCCATAAGTGTTGTTAAATTATTAGACCTTTTAGGTAAAAAACATACCCTGGAACTGCCTTTATGTGCAATCAGAGCCATAATTAAATATTAATGCTCTAAGATGAAAGGGTCACGAGTGTGAGTGTGCTGAAGCAGTACCCCCCAAAGATGAGCAGGAGATGTTGCCAATTAGCTCGTTTGCACACTTTGCAGGTGCTAACACCTTGGCCAGATGTGAGCGTGGAAACCCCTCCCCGGCTCACTAGGTCCCGGGGATCCGGGCCAGCCGCGCCTGGCGGGGCTCTCCAGGGCCCCTGGGAGGGTCTTGACTCTCTCTTACCAAACCACAGAAGGCCCCAGGGTTCTCCTGGGCGCCCACTGGCCCTAAGGCAAGGTCCTTGCGTAGGAAGACAAGGTCCTTGCGTAGGAAGACAAGCGTCGGGGTTGGGAGGAAGGCTAAGCAATGTGGAGCCCCGTGGGTCTTACAACAAACACCTGGAAACGAAGCCAGGTCCGAGATGCCGATTTCCCGCAGTGATGGGGGGCCTTCGCCAGGGCTCAAGGAAGCTCATTCCGGTGTTTTGGGTTTTTATCCTAAGAAATGCTTCTCCTTCTGCCTGCTGACCGCATCTCAAATCCAGGAAAGCCTTAGTTTCTCTAGTCCTTGCACTTCCCTTCTGGGTGATAGTGACGGCTTCCCGGATGCAGGACTCAGCGTTAAGTACCAGCACCCAGGGCCGCAGGTGCTGTCCCTGGAGCCCCGGGGCGCTGGTGGGGAGGGCAGGGGCGTGGCGGGCAGCCCCTTTGTCTGGTGTGGGATCCCTCACCATCCTCTCTGCTCACAGCGCCTGCGCCCGGGAGCGCCAGCCCTGCTCACCCGGGGCAGTGAGGGTCCCAAAGGCGCAGATGCCCGTGTATGGCCCAGACAAAGCCGTGAGCCGAGGGCTGCGGAGCTGCCGCCCCCCTTCCGCTGGTCCCCACCCCGACTCGTGCCTTGAGCGCCCAGCGCGGCCCGGGCTCTTCTCCGAGGTTGGGAGGGCAGACCCAGCGAGTGTCTCAGTTAGGTCTGAGAGTGCAGCCTGCTCCAACTGGGGGACGCCTTCCCCCCGGCAGCCACCGGAGAGCCCCTCTTGCAGGGTCCAGAGGGAAGGGCGGGGGGCCTCGTGGTGGTCTGAGCCAGCAGCCTCTGCAGCACGTGGGCCCAGTCGGTGGATTTGGGTCACTCCTTCCCGCTTTTGGGTCTTCTCTGTTAACCCTCCCCACCCAGGACTTAAGTCCCAGCAGCCCCCGACCGCCCAGCCACCAGGAGGTCTGTGGTGCACCCTGTTCTCAGCACTAGCAGCTCGCCCTGGCCTTGCCAGGCTTGTGGGCAATACGCAAACAAGCAAGGAGCACGTGGGTGTCACAGGGCCCCGTGCCGGGTGCCCACAGGGACGTGAATGGTAGCGGGGACACAAAGAGGTCCTCCTCGTGGTCGGGGCACCCCCGAGTCCAGGCTGGCGCTGTGGTCTCAGCAGAGGGGCTGTGCAGTGGCCAGGAGGAGGCCCGGGTGGGGGGCCGGTGGGGATTTGTAAGGTGGACAGTGGCCTGTCCGCTGGCTGGCCAGCCGGGACTCGGGCCCTGGGGGCGCAGAGGAGGAGGGCAGAGGCCGCGGAGAGCCCAGCTGTGGGCAGGGAGGGACGCCGAGGTAGGTGCAGCCCTGTAGCGACGGAACAGTCAGGGGAAAGAGTGCTTTGGTCGGTGGCCAGGGCTGGGAGTGAGGGACAGAGGCCAGGCCGAGGACCCTAGTGCCTTGAGGAAGGAATGGAACTTGGGGTGAGCTCAGGAAGACCCAGTGCCCGGCAGGGGGGCAGAGAGGGGCCTCCCCCAGCCCCGCGTTGGCCACCTTGGCCACCTGAACCCCTGGCTCCCTCCCCGCGTCTCTCGCCCCAACCGGGCTTTGTCCTGGGCCAAAAAACGAAGGCGAGTGTTCCCCGAAATGTCACAGGACCTTCATGTGCCGGGTCAGGCCTCGGTTTTGCGGGAGGACTAAGAGTGTCGGGGATCCCAGGCCACCCGAGCCGCCGCTGTGCGCGCCCAGGGCCAGGCCCGCGGGCTAGGAGGACGGGCGCGACTGAGTTCCCAGCGAGATGCAAACTGTGACTGTAAGATCCTGTGTTTGCTGACTTTCAGTGGACCAGACAGCACTTCACTCTTATTTGCTAATTTAGACTCTGACGGTGCTGAGTGGCGGGGGTGCACGAGAGGAGATGGAATCGCTTTGATTCCTTGGGAGTTTTTAACCTGTGTCTATTTAAGTGCCCGTGGCCAGGTTGTGGCCTGGCCGCCTTCCCTCCGAGGGCCCAGTACAGGGGCGTCTCCAGTGTGGGCCAATACCTGAGGTCCCTGGGCGGTGGGTTCTCTTTCCTCAGGACCTTCTGCGAAGGGTCTGTGGGTGCATCCTCAGCCTCACACCCACCCAGCGGACGTCCCCGAGTTTTGCTCCTGCAGACTCTGCAGAGACCCGACCCGAGTGCTCTCCTAAGGGCTCCTGCCCTGGCTGGAGACGGCCCTCCCCGTGCCTGCGGCCCCGCTGTGGGGCCCCTCGGCGCTCTGATCCCACGGATGTGTGCTCAGAGCTTGGCCCGGGCCTGGACAGGGTGGGCCCCGTCCAGGAAAACGGCAAAAGGTATAAGGGCCATCAGCCTCTTTAGTTTGCGTTTCTTTATCTGAAAGCAGACCAAAAAAAAAAAAAAGAAAGAAAAATGCAAAAAATTGTATTTTTTCTAAGAAATAAAAAGAAATATATATATTTAGAAAATAAAGATTTAAAAAATAAGAAAATTAGAAATTCTCCCAAATCCCATCACCCAGATAATTGTTTGCATCCATATGTGTGCACATACTTATATACAAATATGTGCATATGTGTCCATACATGTAAACAAGGTGATAGCTCCTGTTTTAGGACTGGGCTTTTCACTCAATGTATTGCAAATTTCTGTTCATATTCATTCAGTATTATTCTACAACTTAAATCTTAGTGCTGTAAAGAATTTACTTCATATACTGTATGTCATATTTATTTAACTAACCTTTTATATTAAGTCATTTAGATTATTTTCAAGGTTTTATTATTCAGAGCAATGCAGAGATTAATCTTTTTTTTTTTTTTTTTTTGAGACAAGGTCTCTGTCTCTATTGCCCAGAGTAGAGTGCCGTGGCGTCAGCCTAGCTCACAGCAACCTCAAACTCCTGGGCTCAAGCGATCTTCCTGCCTCAGCCTTCCCAATAGTTGGGACTACAGGCACTTGCCACCATCCTGGCTAATGTTTCTATTTTTTGGAGAGATGGGGTCTCACTTTTGCTCAAGCTGGTGTCAAACTCCTGAGCTCAAATGATTTTCCCACCTCGGCCTCCCAG